GTGACAGAGGAAAAATGGCATTTAATGCAGCAGAAATTATATTCCTATGTGTCAACGTGATGCATGCAGAGTTAGTGGATCATATCGTTGGCTCAGTGGTACCCGGGTCCCCCTGTAGGACTGGCTCTATGAGAAACTCTCTCTGTGTCATTGATAGCGGCATCACTGATGACATTGTTGATGCTGTTGTCAATGTGCTCTGTCACAACTCTGGAGGACACAAATAAATAATGCTCATTAGAGGACGTTTCTTTGTCTTTCTTCTCGACTTCCCTCTGTTCACTCTGACTCACTCACTCATTCCCTCACACTCATTATCTCTTCCCCCCCCCCCCCCCCCCCCCCCCCCCAAACACACACACACTTAAGACATGGCAAGGGCGTTTTTCAATAAAAGTAAATAATCAAATAGGCAAATACATTCTCACAGAGGACATAGACACCAGAGGGCAAACATGGGCAGACAGCACTTGACAATCCAGAGCAGAGAAGCAGCAGGCAGGCTAGTAGATTATGATTTATGACCAGTGAGAGAGAGGAGCAGAATACAGAAGGAGAGACAGGACATCTCTCCAGGTTACAGGGGCAGCATTCAGAATAGGCCCTGAAGCGTTCATAAATATGATAAAATATGTACAAGAACGTTAACAGGAATTTACAGGAATGAATGTCCCATAGGCGACTACATCAGGTATTAGTGGAGTCATCATAATGTGACCATTGATCATGCCTGGAGCTTTTGTGTTTAACATCCACAGTGCCTGAGGTTGTATTGACTTTACATAAGACATGGTGAGATATTCTACTCCCTTGTCAGATTGCATTGCACAGTGTTCTGTTACATGTCTACTCTTCTAATGCACTGTTCTGACTCCCCTAATACACTGTTAAAGGTGTGTGGGTCTGCTTGTGCGTGTATGTGTGACATGCGTGAGAGAGTGTTCCCACAGTAAGTGCTCTAACCCATGTCCTAATACACTGTTCAGGTTGTGTGTGCTGAGGCTTGGAGACTGAGTTAAATCTATTGATTTATCCGCTGTATCAGTTGTTCTCCTGAGTGTAGCTCTGTGTAAATTCTCTCTGCCAGGAGGCTGGGGATCAATAGCTGACAAAGACTATTTACTGTGAAGAGGAGCGAGTGACGTGACCGGCGTAATGGCGAACGAACTAAACACCCACACGCTTCCTGATGTGAGCTCTTCTCTCACAGCTCTGCGCGTGGCGAAAACAGCAATGCTGCGATCTCATCCATTATGAATTAGAAAACATGAACACACACTCGCAGAGATAGCAGTAAGTCTTGGCCCATATATAATAGATAAACACTAAAATCCTGTGTACTTCTGTTGGCTCTCTGCCTGTGATGGGGTCGTTGGGGTCGTTACTAAGGCAGCTCCCCCGTGATAACAACACAGTCCATTCATTCAACACTGCAGTCCCTTTTATTGTCTATGAGAAAACGTCAATGGCTCCGGGTAGAAGTTGCCCTTTGACACGCACAGATCTAGGATAAGCTTACCCTCCATAAATGCTATCCTTACCTGTTAGTGGGGGGATGTGAAACTGACAGATCAGTGCCTATGGAGAACGTAATGTTACTCCACATTTATGCCTTGAATAGCTCTGATTAACGTCTCACCAAGTCAAGGCCATTGCCAAGCAGCTACTTCAGCACTACCTCTATTCAAGCACTGTTACTGCACTATCATGGAACTATGGAAAATTATCCTGACACAAATTATGGGCTCATCATATCATTGCTACAGTGTGCCTACCCTGTAGGCCTCTCCTAAAACAACTGAAAACAGAGGGGAACTATGGAGCAACCATGACAGACAGGCACCCCGTGTCACTGCACCTCCCTCCCTCCCTCTGTGAATCACAATAAACCTCCACGGCTATCTGTGAATCCATACACATTTCACTCCGCCCGGGGAAAAGCAAAGAGATCTTTTGTAATGTTATTCTAAGCAATTCAAGTTTTTTATTTGTATTATCATTAATTAGACCAGCGTTTCCCAAACTCGGTCCTCGGGACCCCAAGGGGTGCACGTTTTGGTTTTTGCCCTAACACTACACAGCTGATTCAAGTGATCAAAGTTTGATGATTAGTTTATTATTTGAATTCGCTGTGTAGGGCTACGGCAAAATATCTAAACACACCCCTTGGGGACCCGAGGACCGAGTTTGGGAAACCCTGAATCAGACAGAGCTAGCACACACAATCAGAGAAGAGGACTTTATGCATTATGTAAAGGCTGTGACAACAGTGAGCTAATCAGCCCCACGCTTCCTGTCTCCTGTGGGATCGTGAGTAATTATGAATGAGCTGGAACATGCAATGTGACAAGTGAGGTAATGTGCTTTTAGTGCTGAGGACGACGGAGAGGACAGGAGTGCAGAGACATCGCTGCATGCCACCAGAGAGAGAGAGAGAGTAGGAAAGGAGAAGAAAGCGAGAGGGAGAATAAAAAGGGGAGATGAAAGTGGGATGTAATATAGAAATGCATTGAGAGCCACACCATGTTCTCTTACAGTAACATTCATTATACACTAGCCTATCTTTGGACGGATAGATTTGAATAATCCATTCAATGTGACTGCATGATGAATGAGAAATGTTACATCTCTAGTCTACATATCAATACGTTTTGATTTACATAATCATGGAGATGAATAAGTCTTATTAACATTGGAATTCAAACCCTTGGATGTCACATTTCTTCCCAGTCAAAGCCCAGTAGATGGTGTTTCTGAGAAGAGCTGGGTTCTGCTTAATCTTCCAGTGGTAGAGTGTGTTCCAATTACTGATGTAGGCTCTGACTACTAAACCCTGCAAAGTAGGGGCCCTCTGCAGGGCCCTGGGGTTGTGTCCTCTGTGACCTGCTCTGTACCAGCCTTCACACCAGAGACAGCAACACAGCCAGACTCAGACTGCAGATCTCTGAAGACCGGATCAAAAACGCCACATGATGGCTGCCAGCATGACTCATGTTTGGTGTGTGTTACTGGGGTTATAATTACCTCCTGAGAGTGTGTGTGTACACTGCAATCAAAGTTATCTCCTGTAAGTGCCTGCGGACATAGTGAAACATGTACAGTATGCATCTCACCCTCACACACGTGATACAGTGTAGAGGAGGAGAGGACATGAAAAGGAAGCTCCAACCAACGCTACATTATCGTTCTCTCTTTTACACTTTCTTTCTCAGTAAATCGCAGCATCTGGATATGGTTGCTCTGGCACTGGTGTCATAACTTTTCCATTCCCTTGAGTAGCATTGGATGTGTGTACAGTACGCCTATGTGTAAGTCTGAGTTGTTGTAAGTGGGCCTATGTGCAAGCATGTGCGTTTGGTTAAACCTTGTGACATATCACATGTTCCTGCTTCTGTCAAGAGTTTCCTCCTTGAATCTATGATTCCCTTGTTAAATGGGGAAGTTATAGTGTGTCGACGGACTTCTCTATTTTCATCTCTTAAAGATGACATGCTTTATATCTAACAGAAATGTCCAGTATGTCTTATACATACATGTAGAGAGGAGTGTACAAGAATGACTCACAGCATTCCCCCACAGATAGTGGATCATGCCTTGGAATGATGGTGCAGTCTTTGAGACATGGCAGAGACCCAGCTGTAAGAAAACCTTGTCAGGATCTATTAAGAGAGCAATAGACAGAGCAGGAGACCCTCTTACATGTCCCTACATCCCAAATCCACACAGATCTCAAAAGCGACCAGGGTATTAGAGTTTCCCATAAACAGCTTTGCCAACAGATCTGGAGTCAGTCTCCTATGAACCTCTGTGTTGTGCGATATGTGACACTGAAACGGAAATACAGATTTCTGACATTAATATTGAAAGAGAATGCGAATTATCTTCCAGACATTTGTTGCATTATTGAGAACGAGCGGCTTGCAGCTAAAAGTATGTCATGTGTGATTCTCATTGACAAGAGGTTTGTTCCAGCGGGCGTAGAGATATGAAATGTAGAGATGTCCCCTATCTCAGACAAAATGGCCACCTGAGCTAGAAGGGCTTTGAACACTTCAATAAACACAGGTAACCGGAGGGGTGGAAACACCTGACATTCTTCTGGCATTATTTACTGGAGAAAATCTTGTCACATAGTTAAATAGTGTTAAATACAAACATGGTTCCTATTAGTGCAAGGAGAGGTTGCTGTTGTTTTTAATGCTACTATTAGTTTTGATGAAATAAATCCCTGTGCATTAAAAGACAGGTATTAACTTTATATCCCATATTAAATTCAGATATAACTGCTAGATCACTAATACTCTCCTATGCCACATATGGTAGTCATTCACAAATAATTCAATATTATCAATAAGTACAGAAACCAGGGATAAAAAATAAAAAATAAAAGAATGACAGTCCCGGGCATACAAACCTTTCGGGATGAATAGTTTGAGCAAGCTTGCCCTCTAGAGTCTGAGTAGTGAACTACTTTTCAAACAAACCGCAGAGCAAGAAGAGGCGAGGAATTCTCTGTATCATGTGACAGGGGAGATTGTAACAGGCATTTTAAAAACAGGGCAGTGACAAAATACTAGGCTGTCCAAAATAACTGTGTTCAAAATATGACATCTTGTTCTACCGTCCTGTACCTCTTTGAACACAAAAAAAAAAAACATTTTATACTTACATTTACATTTTAGTCATTTAGCAGACGCTCTTATCCAGAGCGACTTACAGTTAGTGAGTGCATACATTATTTTTTGTATTTTTCATACTGGCCACCCGTGGGAATCAAACCCACAACCCTGGCGTTGCAAACGCCATGCTCTACCAACTGAGCTACATCCCTGCCGGCCATTCCCTCCCCTACCCTGGACGACGCTGGGCCAATTGTGCGCCGCCCCATGGGTCTCCCGGTCGCGGCCGGCTACGACAGAGCCTGGATTCAAACCAGGATCTCTAGTGGCACAGCTAGCACTGCGATGCAGTGCCTTAGACCACTGCGCCACTCGGGAGGTTACTTAAAATTGTTTTCAACATAACAGTATTCCAAATATATTCAGGAATGTTTAGAATTATTGTTTGAAGTCAACATAACCACTGTTCCACTCACAGGCCTAAGCTGGTAGGTGGGTAAACTGTTTGGGGTTGAGTAGTAATCTTGGCTGAGTGTGGAGCTTTGAGGTGACTGGGGTTGGTTCTGATGTTCTGGGGTATTCAGGGGCAGGGGCGCAGCCTCACTGGATCAACCTGTGACATCGGCACACCCCTTCTTCACCCATCCTACCTCTCCCTGACCACCAGAGAAACATCCTTTGACTGTCCTTCTTTAGGGTGTAGTAGCATGTTGCTATGGCGGTCTGGTGGGAGGCATTACTGTAGTGATCTCCAGGCAGGGGTTGGCGTGTCAGCGGTCCAGCGAGCGTTTCTGGATGGCCTCCGAGACGGCGGTGCGCAGCATTGCGATGACAGAGCGAGGGTCGTCACTGCTTACCACAGCACTGCCCGACACAATCATGTTAGCGCCTGCCTACCAGAGACACACAAAAAGAGAAACACACACACATAGTCAACCCACATGGTCTGACACAAGCAGAGACAACACAGTTAAACACTAGGGCCCAAGGAGGCATGGTATGGGGAGGCATGTACTCACCTCAGCACACTTATGGATGGTAGAAGGACCCACTCCTCCGTCCACCTCAATGTCCAGAGAGGGAAACTGACTCCTCAGCCAGCTCACCTGGACACACACAGAAACAGACATGTTAATGACATGTCCCAAATATGCCACACACGGATATACATGCTCAAGACTGATGAAAAAAAATCCACTGGGGCTGATTCGATTGACCCCTTCCTGCTGTAGCTTTCTGCCCCCTTCTTGCGGAATCATTGACATATTTTTTACTTGACGATTGGGGCTATCCCCAAGTTCTGGAAGGTCTCCTAAGTTAAGCTCTTTCTTAACTTCAAAATCTATTCAAAAATGTGCATCAGTTTGGCTTCAGACCAGGGCATAGCACCATCTCGGCAGCATCACTGGTTTTAAATTATGTGGTAAATTGTTTGGATAGGAAGAAACACTGTGCTGCTCTATTCATTGACACTGTCAACTACTCTTTACTAATTCTATGGTTGTCTGAAATTGGCCTGGATCAAGCATCATGTTTAAAAACTACTTGACAGACGACACAATGTGTATATTTTCCTTGATATTACGAAAGGTGTCCCACAAGGGTCGATTTTAGGTCCTGCACTTTTTATTTGACCAGTCTTTTTCCAGAGCTGCAATCTGCCTTTGCTGCTTTGCAGAAAACCTTTGTTGAACTGAAAATTGTACTTAATGCAGGTAAAACCAAGTACATCATTTTCTAATTCACTTAAAAATGTATCTGATGATTTATACATATTGGATGGTGCCCACATTGATCGTGTCCCCGCGTATAAATACCTGGGCATCTGATTTGACAAAAAGTTCTTTTAAAAAGCATATGGCTGAGTTAGTTAGGAAGTTGAGAATGAAAATGGGCTTCTTCTTTAGAAAGAGATCATGCCTCTCCCTTGACAGCAGAAAGCAGATCATTCAGTCAACTTTCCTGCCAGTGCTAGATTACGGTGACACCATTTATATGAAAGCAGCTGCCACTACACTGAAACCATTAGATGCAGTTTACCACAGCACACTTCGCTTTATTACGGGCGGCAGGTTCCATATATTTCATTGCATCCTATATCAGAAAGTAGGCTGGCCCTCTCAAGTCTCGTAGATCGATCAAATCAAATTTGATTTGCCACATGCGCCGAATTCAACAGGTCGTAGACCTTACAGTGAAATGCTTACTTACAAGCCCTTAACCAACAATGCAGTAAAAAAAAAAAAGAGAAAAAAAAGTGTTAAGTAAGTTAAAAATAAAAATAGCAAATAATTCAAGAGCAGCAGTAAAATAAAATAACAGTAGGGAGGCTATTACAGAGGGTACCGGTACAGAGTCAATGTGCGGGGGCACTAGTTAGTCGAGGTAATATGTACATGTGGGTAGTGTTAAAGTGACTATGCATAGATAATAAACAGAGTAGCAGCAGCGTCAAAGAGGGAGTGGGATGTGGGGGGCAATGCAAATAGTCTGGGTAGCCATGATTAGCTGTTCAGGAGTCTTATGGCTTGGGGGTAGAAGCTGTTAAGAAGCCTTTTGGACCTAGACTTGGCGCACCGGTACCGCTTGCCGTGCGGTAGCAGAGAGAACAGTCTATGACTAGGGTGGCTGGAGTCTGACAATTTTTAGGGCCTTCCTCTGACACCGCCTGGTATAGAGGTCCTGGATGGCAGGAAGCTTGGCCCCAGTGATGTACTGGGCCGTACGCACTACCCTCTGTAGTGCCTTGCGGTCGGATGCCGAGCAGTTGCCATACCAGGCGGTGATGCAACCAGTCAGGATGCTTTCGATGGTGCAGCTGTATAACTTTTTGAGGATCTGAGGACCCATGCCAAATCTTTTCAGTCTCCTGAGGGGGAATAGGCTTTGTCGTGCCCTCTTCACGACTGTCTTGGTGTGTTTGGACCATGATAGTTTGTTGGTGATGTGGACACCAAGGAACTTGAAGCTCTCAACCTGTTCCACTACAGCCCCGTCGATGAAAATGGGGGCATGCTCAGTCCTCTTTTTTCCCCCTGTAGTCCACAATCATCTCCTTTGAGTTAGTTACACTGCTCTCGTTTTGTTTATGAAGCCCTCTTGCACAAACTTCAACTGTACCTTACTTCATTGTTAAACTACAGACTTACAAGTCACCAGACCCAAATAAACATTTACGTCATTTAGCAGAGGCTCTTATCCAGAGCGACTTACAGTTAGTGAGTGCATACATTTTTCATACTGACCCCTGTGGGAATCGAACCCACAACCCTGGCGTTGCAAGCGCCATGCTCTACCAACTGAGCTACACGGGGATGGCCAACTCTAGAGGTCCCATTGATCACTACAGAATTAAGTAAATCAGCACTCCGTTTTTTTGCGCCCCGTGTATGGAATGATCTGCAGAGCTCTCTGCACCTTGATCCGCTGTTACCGTTAGGGCAGTTCAAGTTGTTAATGGAGGACCTCCTTGTTGAGGAATGGGATTGCTTTTTATTATGTTGTAAATGTTGTGGATTTTGTATAATTTGTGTACATGCAGGGTTCCCTTGCAAAAGAGGCCTTGGTCTCAATGGGATTTTTTATAAATAATTTTAAAAAATAGATACACTGCAAATACTGTATGTGGAGGAAATAAACAATAAACCACACAAATCCACACACATGAAACAGTGAGAATCAAACAGACACCTTCAGACTCCAGAAACCCCTTCGGACTACATCACTAACTTGCAACAAGCAGATATATTTCTGAAATGTCTCATTCATACTCAGATGACACAATGTCAACTGATCACATTGTAACAAACCTCTGCATTCAAGTGACCTTGTGTATAAATCAGATTACAGATAAGGACAAATAAGCTTTTTCATGCTGCTTATCAGAGACGTGCTTTCTCAGATAAGCAAAATAACACAGACACACAAACACATATCATCTTCTCCTTTCCCCCTTCTGATAACCAGGTGGCGAATCGCATCTCTGCATGTCTGGCAGACATATCAGTGTGGATGTCGAATCACCACCTCAAGCTGAACCTCGGCAAGACGGAGCTGCTCTTCCTCCCGGGGAAGGACTGCCCGCTGCCATGATCTCGCCATCACGGTTGACAACTCCGTTGTGTCCTCCTCCCAGAGTGCAAAGAACCTTGCCGTGACCCTGGACAACACCCTGTCGTTCTCCGCTAACATCAAAGCGGTGACCCGATCCTGTAGGTTCATGCTCTACAACATACGCAGAGTACGAACCTACCTTACACAGGAAGCTGCACAGGTCCTAATCCAGGCACTTGTCATCTCCCGTCTGGATTACTGCAACTCGCTGTTGGCTGGGCTCCCTGCCTGTGCCATTAAACCCCTACAACTCATCCAGAACACTGCAGCCCGTCTGGTGTTCAACCTTCCCATGTTCTCTCACGTCACCCCGCTCCTCCGCACACTCCACTGGCTTCCAGTTGAAGCTCACATCTGCTACAAGACCATGGTGCTTGCCTACGGAGCTGTGAGGGGAACGGCACCTCCGTACCTTCAGGCTCTGATCAGTCCCTACACCCAAACGAGGGCATTGCGTTCTTCCACCTCTGGCCTGCTGGTCCCCCTACCTATGCGGAAGCACAGTTCCCGCTCAGCCCAGTCAAAACTGTTCGCTGCTCTGGCACCCCAATGGTGGAACAAGCTCCCTCACGACGCCAGGACAGCGGAGTCACTGACAACCTTCCGGAGACACTTGAAACCCTACCTCTTTAAGGAATACCTGGAATAGTATAAAAGTAATCCTTCTACCCCCCCACCCCACAAAAAAAAAAATTAATAATAATAATTAAATACACAAAATACTAATTACTTTTACGAAAAAACAATTAGAATAACAAACTAAATGTACATAAAAACATTTTAAATTAAATATACAGTGAGGAAAACAAGTATTTAATACACTGCTGATTTTGCAGGTTTTCCTACTTACAAAGCATGTAGAGGTATGTAATTTTTATCATAGGTACACATCAACTGTGAGAGACGGAATCTACAACAAAAATCCAGAAAATCACATTGTATGATTTTTAAGTAATTAATTTGCATTTTATTGCATGACATAAGTATTTGATACATCAGAAAAGCAGAACTTAATATTTGGTACAGAAACCTTTGTTTGCAATTACAGAGATCATACGTTTCCTCTAGGTCTTGACCAGGTTTGCACACACTGCAGCAGGGATTTTGGCCCACTCCTCCATACAGACCTTCTCCAGATCCTTCAGGTTTCGGGGCTGTCGCTGGGCAATACGGACTTTCAGCTCCCTCCAAAGATGTTCTATTGGGTTCAGGTCTGGAGACTGGCTAGGCCACTCCAGGACCTTGAGATGCTTCTTACGGAGCCACTCCTTAGTTGCCCTGGCTGTGTGTTTCCGGTCGTTGTCATGCTGGAAGACCCAGCCACGACCCATCTTCAATGCTCTTACTGAGGGAAGGAGGTTGTTGGCCAAGATCTCGCGATACATGGCCCCATCCATCCTCCCCTCAATACGGTGCAGTCGTCCTGTCCCCTTTGCAGAAAAGCATCCCCAAAGAATGATGTTTCCACCTCCATGCTTCACGGTTGGGATGGTGTTCTTGGGGTTGTACTCATCCTTCTTCTTCCTCCAAACACGGCGAGTGGAGTTTAGACCAAAAAGCTATATTTTTGTCTCATCAGACCACATGACCTTCTCCCATTCCTCCTCTGGATCATCCAGATGGACATTGGCAAACTTCAAACGGGCCTGGACATGCGCTGGCTTGAGCAGGGGGACCTTGCGTGCGCTGCAGGATTTTAATCCATGACTGCGTAGTGTGTTACTATTGGTTTTCTTTGAGACTGTGGTCCCAGCTCTCTTCAGGTCATTGACCAGGTCCTGCCGTGTAGTTCTGGGCTGATCCCTCACCTTCCTCATGATCATTGATGCCACACAAGGTGAGATCTTGCATGGAGCCCCCCCGCCAACAGTTGTTGCCTTCTCACCAAGCTGCTTGCCTATTGTCCTTTAGCCCATCCCAGTCTTGTGCAGGTCTACAATTTTATCCCTGATGTCCTTACACAGCTCTCTGGTCTTGGCCATTGTGGAGAGGTTGGAGTCTGTTTGATTGAGTGTGTGGACAGGTGTCTTTTATACAGGTAACGAGTTCAAACAGGTGCAGTTAATACAGGTAATGAGTGGAGAACAGGAGGGCTTCTTAAAGAAAAACTAACAGGTCTGTGAGAGCCGGAATTCTTACTGGTTGGTAGGTGATCAAATACTTATGTCATGCAATAAAATGCAAATGAATTACTTAAAAATCATACAATGTGATTTTCTGGATTTTTGTGATTTTCTGGATTCCGTCTCTCACAGTTGAAGTGTACCTATGATAAAAATTACAGACCTCTACATGCTTTGTAAGTAGGAAAACCTGCAAAATCGGCAGTGTATCAAATACTTGTTCTCCCCACTGTATGTATATATATATATATATATATATATATATATATATATATATATATATATATAAAACAAATGAAAATTGAGAATATACGCTAGAAATAAAATAAAAAATATGAAAAGAATAACAAAAAATTATAAACAAATTAACAATAAAATGAATGAGAAAAACACAAAAATTATATATAAAAAAATAAAAAAAAGTGGTAAAGTGGTTGTCCCACTGGCTATCATAAGGTGAATGCACCAATTTGTAAGTCGCTCTGGATAAGAGCGTCTGCTAAATGACGTAAATGTAATTCAACCTTGGGCATCATGTCCTCCATGAACTTCTGGCCTCCGAAGCCAGGCTCCACAGTCATGACCAAAGCCATGTTGATCTGTCCAGCCCACGGGGCCAACTCCTCTACTGTAGTCCCAGGCTTTATGGCCAGGCCCACCTATAAGACACACACACAATTTTGTTTTACTATCCTTGTGTGGATCAAACAATTGATTCCCATTCAAAATTATTTTCCCTAACCCTTAACAGATCCCTAACCCCAAACCCTAATTGTAACCCTAAACCTAAAAAAGCCTTTTTCCTTGTGGGGACCGGCAAAATGTCCCCACTTGTCCGAATTTTCCTTGTTTTATTATCCTTGTGAGGACTTCTGGTCCTCACAAGGATAGTAAAGCCAAAAACAAACACACACGGGTGAAGACACATAGTAAAACTGGTAGAAGACACATTGCTGTGAACTTTCTCTGTGTGTAAATTACGCTTTGCGTCCATTCTCTCTGACCATTAATTTCTCTCCCTCTCTGACCTCCCATATCTGGACCTCACCTCTCGTCTCCCTCTATAGTCAACACTGCTTCTCTGTCTCACCTTCATGCCGCTCTCTCTGATCTCCTTGATGAGGTTTCCAGCATTGGTGGTGGCCTCTAGGTGGAATGTGTACTGATTGGCTCCTGCTGCTGCCATGGGTTTCACCCACTGCTCTGGCCTTGATACCATCATGTGCATGTCTGGAAGAAAACACACACACTTTTGAGATGGCTGCTATGTTAAGTTGAACAATCTATGATACTATGTAGACCTAAGTAGCATGGGGGCACCAGCGTTTGTGATAATGGCAACTGAGGTCAGCACATTCAGCTAGAATCAATATGGACTCCTCAATGTTTTGTTGTCCTACAACAAGGCGATAGCGTAACCATATCAGGGTGTGCGACTGTTACTCACCAAAGAAAGGGCCCGGCCCCACACAGTTCCTCAGGCACTCCACCATGGGATGACCGAACGTGATGTTGGGTACAAAATGACTTCAGGGTAACAACATACAATCATTAGCCTCGTGATTTATTCTAATCCAGTCACTTTGGTGCTGATGCAAGGCAGGCAGTAAGATAAGTTAAAATGCAAATCAATGCTGAATAAACCTTAAGCTGACAAAATATAAGTAGATCAAGTAAAATTGAGGATGTTGTGCAACCTGGACTGACTTTGCAATCTGCCATGTTGACATAACGATTTATCCTATTTTAGCTTGACTTCTAACAAGATTACTAGGTAGCTAGTCAACAACAGCAGTGACTAGCTAGCTAACGTTTGCTAAAATATGCATGCATTCAGTGTTACAGCTAGCTAGCTAGCTAAACTGCCTGACTTATGATTGCTAAAGAAGCCAAGGACTGAGGCTATGCTAGCTAGGACTAGCGGAAATCAATGCACTCCCTAGCTAGCGTTGTAGCCTATGAATCATCTGATGTGGCTTTGCTCACCCGTCCATAACGTCGAGGTGCAGGAAGTCAGCCCCGCACTCCATCATTCGGACACATTCAGTGCCCAGGCAGGCCAGGTCACTGCTGAGGATGGACGGGCCTATCTTTGCGCTGTAAGACATGTTGGTGCTATCTGCTCTGCTCTCACCTGGCTGTGCTAAATATTAGTTAATGAAGTACCCCAACGTGCTAGTTTGCTACTTCCGCGTTCAACACCGCTTTCAAAATAAAAGTACAAAAGCATCGAACATTGCTGTTCCAAATATTGCCACTGGATGGCGCACGAGTCATAGGGAAGTTAACGATCAAATCAGTGTTTACATATTTTTCCATGGTGAAAGATTAATTAATATTGCCCACACAGCTCATATATTTTCCTAGTTGGCTGTAAGAGTTAGTAGGTGTTTGACTGAAGTTGAAAGGGAGAGATGAGCTGTGTTGGTTGGCCCCATTGTGGGGGACCGTCTCAGCAGTGTGTGCGAGAGCTGTCCCCTGAGATAGGAGGCAGAGCCAGACATCGTCACATAAAGGACTGTGGGAGAGACCAATACCACCTCTATAGGCTACTGCCTCTCTCTCTCTCTCTCTCTCTCTCTCTCTCTCTCTCTCTCTCTCTCTCTCTCTCTCTCTCCCTCTCTCTCTCTCTTTTTCTCTCACACACACACACACATGCATGCACGCACACACACTCTTGTCTAAAGCGTTTTGACTCTGTGTCCTGCTGTGGTCAGAGGATTAAAAGTTTTGAAGAGAGTTCATCCTTAGTCCAACCTCCAAGTTATTATGATTGATAAGAATGTGAAAAATTAATCCCTAGTAGTTCCAGCAGCGTTTTCTGTGGCTCTGGCCCACTTCAGGCTCAGTCACATCCCACTGGGCACAGACGTCAATTCAAAGTCTATTCCACGTTGGTTCAAAGTAACTTCATTTAAATTACGTGGAAATAACATTGATTCAACCAGTGTGTGTCCAGTGGGATCCATGCTGATGAGAGTAAACACCAATCTGACATTTATGCGTTTAGGCTGCGGGTCGCGTTACCGCTGTAGAGTTGATGGTGGGCTGTGGTAGCATGGTATGCACCGGGGGACAAGAAAGGTAATATGTTATTCTCACATTGACTTGAGTTAGAGTAAATGCTTGTCATGGTGAATGGGAGCCTTGAGTAAGAGCCTCTAAGAGAGCTGTAAAGCTTTAGGATATGACAGCCTCTCCATTGACACACACACACACACACAGGCCCTCAGCAAGGTTGGGACCAATACAAATTTACACTGTGTTTGTTTTAAATGTATGTCTTTCCACACACCACTTACAGGCCTCCATATCACGACTCGAGCTAAACATAATTCTCTCAGATGCCATCTTAAGAGCTTTAGAGGTGATAAAGTAGTGTCCTACTACATGTGTACAGTAAAGACCATTTGTAAAGAGTTCAGGGTGGGTTGTATGGATACAAATCTACCTGTCTGCTCTATATAATACAGATTGTTTCTCTGAGGTTAAGAGGGTTAATATTCTTGACTTTCCATGAGGTGACATTGTAAAATGGTGCTCTCGGCGGTGGTGTTTTTTTAGTGAGAAGGCAGACAAGATTCCCAGTGCAATGCCCAGGTTAAAGGCTTTTTTTAAGGCGCCGTATATACACATATTTACAACAAAGCATCAGGACGACGAATCGAGAAAGTAACATAACCTGTAGTTGTAACAGGGTGACATAGTCCCGTGTAGCTCAGTTGGTAGAGCATGGTGTTTGCAATGCCAGGGTTGTGGGTTCGATTCCCACGGGGGGCCAGTATGAAGAATGTATGCACTCACTAACTGTAAGTCGCTCTGGATAAGAGCGTCTGCTAAATGACTAAAATGTGAATATGGTCACAACTTGGACTCCAAGTTGGGAATGACCTATGCTCCCCAAAAGGGTTTAACCTTTTACTGCAGTGGGCTAAAACAGGGTCACACAGAGTGTTTTTTGGTAGTCTTAAACAAATCTACTTTGAAAAAAAGTATACACCTCACACCTTTACCATGTCAGATATTGAGTTGAAATGTATGCAATTTTGAGTTTGCATCCCAATATTACACTTTATAGACATCACAGAACACTGAAATATAACAAAACTGTTTGACATAGAAACACCAGATTTTTAACGTTTAAAAAAGAATGTTGATTAATTATGAAATTATGAAAAATATTAATAACATTCCACCCACTAGGTCATTTGAATGCAGGAAAGGGCTATGTTAGTAAGTGTGTGTTTACTGGGATGCCATATGAAGAATTGGATCAGAGTCTGGATGGATGTTTTTCACCAATGCATTAATATGGTTTCACCTCAGAAGTTCCTCCTATGAAGTCAGTAGTTATTTCGAACCAACCTTGAGGCGGCAGTAGTTGGGTCGTTCCACCAATTCTGTGCCTTTTGAGAAGTGTATCTTTGTTGACCATTACCGGGTTGACCGTAACAGGGTTGGCCGTAACAGGGTTGACCGTAACAGGGTTGGCCATAACAGGGTTGGCCGTAACAGGGTTGACCGTAACAGGGTTGGCCGTAACAGGGTTGGCCGTAACAGGGTTGGCCGTAACAGGGTTGGCCGTAACAGGGTTGGCGATTTCATCTTACATTTGCCATAAATCCCCTTGTGACAGGGGGAATGAAAGCTTGTTGTGTGCAATAAGGGGCAATTGAATGCAAGCAACAACAACAAAAAATGAAATTGTTAAAACTTTTCTATCATGCCTATCTATGGGTAACAGGGTTGACGTGTTATGCTTGACGCGCTTAGTTTTACACCACAAAACACCAGCAAATGGCCAAAAAGGGTAGAACCAGCTCACCTGCTTCTACACTAGATTTGACTATTAGTTGTTGAATGTTTCTTTTGAAAAAAATATTTAAAAAGGAATAGTTTCATCATATTCAAACGAGAGTTAAGTTCACGTAACAGGGTTGACCTTAAAATGAGGGACAAACGAAAATGAATCACTAATCACATGAAATAAATAATAATCTTCAGAAATGACTTTGTCAAAGCAACAAAATAACTAGGGCTTTACAATGATGGTGAAACTTGGAGAAATCGTGGGGTTAATTGGGTTAAAATCTTCCTAGAAGTGACACAGGGTTGACAGAGGGACATTTTGACACTTTAGCAAGTCTTTATTGAATTATCAGTGTGGTCTATATTAAATTACACTTCATTTAATTAACAGGCTTTTAAAATTCAATATTGTTGCATAATTTCTACCTAAAATATCAAATGTTTACATGGTACAGGTGGCTAATTAAGGGCTAAACAGCAGCATGTGTGTCAGACGGGTTTGAACTCATTTTACACGCGTCTAAAGCACATTGTTTATTGGCAATTAATTAAACTCAGCTGGCATATCAATGCCAAACTCTCTCCAAATGTGAAGCCTGAAACAACAGAAGCAGTCGCACTGAAAACAGATTGATCAGACCTCCCAGGATGGAAGACAGAATTTTGAAAATACTAGAGGAGAACAAGAATAAGATTTGTATTTGATGGGGTGTATTTTGATTGTATTGTTAGTGCATCAATGTGTTGTCTTCCAAGTAATGCCAGTAATAACAGTGAAGTGAAGCTGTTCAGGTTCTTCTAACTCTACAATAAGTGTTTCTCAAGATGTGTTTGGTTTATGTGATATAACACAGGTATGTCCAGCATGGACAGGACAGGGTGGGGTTTATCTGACCTATGACCTATACCATTCTCCATACAGGAACAGCAACAGGGCTCTTTATTGTACTTCCTGGATGGTGGTTGATGTTAATGATCATACAGTAGACAAATCTCCTCCTCCTTACTGTACAATCAGGTCAGTGTGTTCCTCCTGGTTTCCGGCTGGGGTTGACTCTAGCCTCCTGAGCAAACAGCCTGAGATGGATCTACTGTACGTCTTCAGAAGGTCTGGAGGAGAGAGGAACGTGTGTCCTCCTGGCCTCTCCCATCCTCCGCTTTGTATCACTCCAGTCGGGGGTCCGGAGGGGGAAGAGACTGGGTGGGGGAGATGGGATGGGGGACGTCACGTCCCAAGCCTGATTGTCCTGATTGTCTTATGTTTGTCTTCCTGCACGCACTTTTTGATGAGGACAGTGCTGGCATTTTCCTTCGTTAATGAAAACACTTGTTAGGGAAGCCCTTACCGGGGAGTCTCATTAATCAGAAGTTTGTTAGGTGAGCTCTTGATGAGGAGATATCCGTGAGGATGGGGAGTATGCGCAGGGCGGTGTGTGTGAGGGGTGTCGCCACATCCTGTAGAGGCTTCTGGGAGTTGAGGAAGGGAGACAGACAGACAGCTAAAAAGGAGAGATAAAGACAAAGAGAGAGGGAAAAACAGAATTGCGGATATTCTTCCTCTCTTTTCTTCCTTTGGCTGTCCATATGAGTTTTCACTTCGGACTAAGTAGTGGAATTTGAGCCATTTGACCTATGAGCTCTTGTCTCCTAAGTTTTAGGTCTACATGTAAGATTTAGTCTGTGTTTGTGCCAATATATCTCCCACTGCGCCTCTAAAGGATTATTTAGTCAGTGGTCATCGCAAGGAACCTAAATCATGACCGGGTCATGTCAGGGTACGTTTGAGTATTTTTGTCTATGTGACCAGAGCATCAGCATTTTAAACTGCCCTAACCATAACCCACCACTTCAGAGGGCCGCCGTGGCCCAGCATGTAATCGTCTGTTTAAGCCCCCTCCAGGGAGAAATGGATCTACTCTCTTTAAGCACTGGAATGTGTCATTCAAAGAGGTGGAAGGGGAGGGTATGAATGAAAAATGATTTAGTGCTGATCCCAAATGATACATTTCTAAATTATTGCTGAATATAGCCTGCATTTACTGTGAATAAGAGCAGCTGCTTCATTCAGCCTGTATCAGTCAAGTTAATTCATCATTTTTCCTGCTCAGAAAATTCTACATTGATGGGTGAGTTAGGGTGAGCTAAGCTTCATACAGACTTTACTAGTGTGATCTTTTGAACCTTGTGTTTGTGAATGCATTCGTAAAATGATTGGTGACAAAATGTCAATTTTAAGCCTTAATGGATTATCATGCTTTTTTATAAACCCTTTTCTTGGTAGAATGTTAAATCCAACTGAATTACCCTTTGGGATTTTCCCACTAATTAGAAGAATCTGCTGAATAGCACAGTAGGGCAGTCTTCATATTACATTCACAGCAGGGGCTCTGGCT